AAAAAAAAAGTAGGTCCATGGTTGCCATGATTTGAGCTGTTCTGCTTATCAGAAATAAAAAAGTCCAATTGATTCTTATTTAGTATGCCTGTCGCTATGGTCGATAGTAGAATAAAAGAAAAATATTGAAAATTCAAAAAATGGCGGCACTTTGAATACGAAGTATCCATTTTTTCGACTTGTTTTCGTCTTTCAGAGGCTCCAAAAATCAGAAAAATGTATATTTTGGCATAATTCTGCTACCGACCATAGCCACACATGTTCTGAAGACATGTGCAAAATTTGAGTTCGATTGGTTCAGTAGTTTTTGCCAGATCGTGGCAACCATTTCAGAAAACATGGTTCCGAGAAAAACGCGTTTAAAGTTTTCAGTGCATTTTACATTCTCCCTTGATGTGTCACACTAAACAAGCTATAACTTCGTTATTTTATTGAATACAACTATAAAACTTCAGGAGTACATTCTTAAAGAGTTGTACTTTCGATATATGTAAACAAATAAAAATCGATTTTTTGAAACCGTCACACTAGAAGACCCCCTTAATACGTCGCCTAAACGCAATTTTTCCCAATTCTACATACCTGAGGGAAATACCAAACTATTTACCGCAAAACTATTTGTAGTATCGTGAAATGTTGGCCTCTGCCTGCGTTATTCTAAGGGGCGCAGGAATAAGGCCATAAAAGAGAAAGTTAGAGATGCGAATCAGACCCTTTTACGATGGGCCTCGACAGTATACAAGGCCCACCGATGCGTTGGCTGTTCATAGCGGGAAAAAACCAGAAGTGGCGTGTGTATATTGTGAAAGAAAGTGAAGAAATGGAAGGAAGAGTTTTCCTAACGAATGGTGTATACTGAGTGTACAGTCTAAAAGTGCAATCCAATAATCTTACCAAAAATATGTTTGAAACAAAAGTTAATCATCCTCGACTTGGCTGCAAACTGCAATAAAAAAATTTTTCAAAAATTTGCTTTTTCAATAAAAAGTCAAGGACGCCTTGATTTTTGCGAATAGCACTGTGTATTTTTGACCTGATAGGGTTGTGGTTAAGGACAAGACGAATTCAACGACCTACTACACTATGACCTTCACATGACCTTGAATTCAGAAATTTTGGGTTAATGATTAGAAACGTTGCTATGGAAAATTATTTTATTTCGACCAATGTTTGTTATATTCCAATGTCATTGCCGCAAAGCATTTATAAACTATCTGACAAACACCACGGTAAATAGTGCACATATCCGATGGAGCTGTGAATTAAAATAGACTCGGTGTATTTAATTGTTACAGTTTAGTTCAGAACTAACCATTTGAACTAACCATGTCGTAAAGAAGCAGCCGTGCCTTTATGTAAAAGAGGAAAACTCATCGTTGCATTCGTTGCATAAATTATGGAGAATGTCGAGAGGTCGATAATTTTCAGAACTGAAACAGCAGCGAATTTTGAATCTGCAAAGCAGTGGGAAATTGCAAGTGTTTTACGTAGATCTCAGAATGTAGTTAACCTTTTCCCTTTTGTAAGGAAAGAAAAATTATGACAGAGCGTCAAAACTTTCTCTTCGCTTTAAAGGAACAATGGCAAACAGTGCAATTATTTCAATTAGAATGTTATTCAGGTTAAAGAAGAAAGTGACTTGGTAAGAGAAAGAGGCACAAATATCTTAAATATTTGAGGAAACCGTCCCTCAGCAAACGTCAGAAATGTAAATATAAAAAAAATATTAAATCAAAGAACACTATTAACGGTAAAAACACCATTAATAATTATACTAATTCCACGGTTTGTTAAAAAAAAATGCTAATATTTCGGAAACTACGTTAATTGAAAAATCTGCTTTTGTGGTGTCAAATGCAAGCGGTAAGTTCACTTCGAGGTCAGTTGAGTTTTTTTAAATAGTGTACTTTTTTTCGACAAAACGATGGATCGTAACGAGACGATCACAACGACTTCACATGTTGCACGATTTCGCTGAAGAACACAACGACGAAAAGTAAATGAAGATTCCATTTGACGAAGTAACGTAGGCATCTCGCATTGATCGCTGTGACCCCAAGTAACGACGATCAAATGTCGGAAAAAGACCATTCAATGAACTAGTGTCTCTGCAAGTGCTGGAATACATTGCCCTGAACGTCAGTACATGTTTGAATAAAGTGACACTTTTAACATCACGCGATCAGGCGATATTTACGCCTGATTACGCCAGTCTCGTTACGCTCAATCATATTGTAGAAAAAAGTATACTGTGTCATTTAAAAAAACTGAACTGACCTTCAAGTGACCTTAATGCTTGCACTTAGCGAAATTACGTATGCACGTGCTACCGTTGAATGCCAGCTCATCACGTAATATTTTGTAAACGCCAGCGTACCGTGAACGCTCATTTTGCCAAATATTTTGTACCGTAGCTTTCAGTCACTCGGGACATTTTCCACTTTCCTAGTCCTTTCTACCTCAGTTAATCATTATTACTAATATCCTTGTACGATTCACAACGCGTTTAAACTTTCTAATAAACCTCTCGTTAAGGTGTTGCACACAATTCTATCACTCGAAATTCAACACTAGTATTTCCTTCCATTTCATTTAATACACTAAAAGCAGGTTTTCCAATGCAACGTAGTTTCGGAAATATTAACATTTACAGATTAAAATGGGAAATAAACATGTAGGAAGGCAAGCCGAGGCTCTATGCGCTACGCCAACCACTCCCCCCTCTCTTGTCCCTTGCCGGTTTCCTATTTATGCATGGAGGCCCCGATACTACAAACATGTAATTCATTTATGTTACATGTTAAAAATAATTCTAAAAAGCTAACCTTAAATATTGAAATATATTATATAATTTTATGGAATTTACATGCTTTACAAGATTTCCTGATTACTATCTTGTTATTTCTGTGATTACTGTTGCTGTTGTTCATTCATAAGTAGCTTTCTAAAATATTAGGTCATCCCATAAGTATCTAATGTCGTTTTAGAAGCCCAGTTTCAATACAAAAATAATAGTATTTGACCATTGTTTATGAGGACCATTTGCCATTCTTCAGGCAACTTTTAAATCCTTTTTCAACAAAATTTTTATCTCTTGGATTAGAAAACTGATATAACGTTAACTTTAAGTGATCTGTATTTTTGAAATTTCTGCCATTTCAAGTTTTCCAGCGTGCAAAATAATTCCTAATGATCTAACGTTAACTTTAAGTGATCTGTATTTTTGAAGTTACTACCATCTCAAAAGTTTTCTATCGCACAGTATAATTCTCAGCTCGATTGATTAATTTCTTCTATTATTTGTTTTTCAAATCTAATCATCCAGCAACATGGAAAAGTACTTTCTTGCCCCACATCCTCAAACACACTACACAAATTTACCAAATGTACTTCTACAGATTGTGAATTAAACCTAGGGAAAAATAAATAAAAGAGAAAAATTTTCCTTTTTGACGTATACGAACATCGAACCAAGATAAGAAGCAACATTATTTACGGGATGACCTAATAACATACAAGGATTTAACCGTTGAATAGATTGCATAAGTGTTAAAATAACAGGTTAGTTATCTGTACGTATCTTGATCTAAGTTAATATGAATATTCTGCAACCAATGGTAATGTTTATTAGATAAGTATATCCTGAAACATAATGCATTATTTGTAAAACGTTTCGTTAAAATTAGTATTATAATTAACCGCGGAATATGTTTATAAACATTACAGTCTTGTTTTTCACGCGAACTTCGAAGCATTTTTCCAATGAAACTCAATTGTTCGTACTTTTAATTGGCGCTTTACTTTGACCAAATTTTACTCTACTTTAAGTCGATACGATTACTGCGCACAGTGTAAAGGAATTCTGCACAGAGTGTTTTATTTTGATAATAGTAAGGTCCATAAGTCTGATGTACTTTGCCTTTAATGAACGTTCGATAAGGAATTATCTGGATCGATGACCATTTTATAGAACAAGGCCATGCGATTAATCAACATACAAAAACTGCGGTTTTCTGTAATTTAGGATGAAACGTTTAAGCAAGCACTCTGCTTAATTGTGTTGACTTATTTTACATGAGTTACGCGATGCACCTTCATGATTTATTTTCTTCAACAGGTGTTCAGTATTTTTAACACATATTTTTTATGGAAAATACACATACGTTTATGTACGTAGACACTTTTTTTTTTTAGTAAAAATGTGTTATAAGTTACTATTTTGACAATTCAATTTTTCCAATAGATGATTATGTTATGTTTTTAATCGACGGAATATATTATGAACAGCCTGATTACGATTTTATGTGAAGCGACTGCAAAAATTGTAAACAAATATTTATGCTACTCTTTTGCGAGTGAACGTTACATAAATGCGAAATAGAGCAAACGACAGGAAATGGTATTCTAAAAACCGTACCACCACAAGGAAAGAGAAATTCAATGTTTCATGCAAGAAATATTTCATGATTTTAACTTAACCCCTTAACCTATGATTTCTTTTCTGACTACGCATCTAAGTGTCAGCCATTTTCTGGTTTAGTACTGTATCAGGTAACAAAAGCTAATCTGTCACAGATTAATTACATTTAGCAATCCCGAGTCTTATAAATTCAATCGAAAATTAGGATCGCAATTAATTTTTCTTACTGATATAACTACTTTTCTCGCATCTTCGCCAGAATCTCTGCCACGAGTCTGACACGTTGTCATATGTTAAGGGGTTGAAGGAGCAAAATAAACCAACGTTACAGTAATTCTTTAATGCAAATAGACCTGAAACAGTAGTATGACAAATATCATAATCAGTAATAGTAAACTATACATATTTAAACTGGAATGCTATTATATTAGGTTGTACTTTCTTTAGAGATATAACAAACTAACGATCGATAAAACATTGGTAACATTCGATTAGTACTCTAACATTGTACAGTATAATTAATTTCGATATAAGGTAAATAATACTGTCGTCGTAACGAAGAATTTGATTACTTTCACAGGAGAAATTGCCATTCGTGTGTTCCGAGCATGTACGGAATTGGGAATTCGTTCCGTCGCTATTTATTCAGAACAAGACAAAATGCACATGCACAGGCAGAAGGCAGACGAAGGGTACATGGTGGGCAAAGGACTTCCACCTGTTCAGGCTTACTTAAATATACCGGAAATCATCAAAGTCGCGAAAGAAAACGACGTCGACGCTATTCATCCTGGTTATGGCTTCCTATCTGAACGATCGGACTTCGCGGAGGCAGTGATCAATGCTGGAATAAGATTCATCGGTCCTTCCCCGTATGTTGTCCAACAAATGGGTGACAAGGTAGAGATTCTTATTAAAATTATTCTATTTCAAACGTGTATACACAGTGTGTCTCGTAAAATGTAGCATTAGCGAGCAGGATACGATTTCTGATGAGAAAATATGACCAGGGGTTCCCAAAGTTTTGCCTAGGTGGGCCAAATTGTAAATTCGAAAATATTTGGCAGGCCATTAAGACAGTTACGGCCATTGGCCGTTAAGACAATAAAATACGAGGGTGGATGGAAAAGTTCGCGGCCTAAGTGGGAAGAACTAGGTGCTTGCAATTTTTACGGTGTAATCTGTCATCATTTGTGTACCGACGTACGAAGTTCCGTGGCTCTCTTTTACAGCTGGTGAAGTAGGGGTGTTTACAGCGACGGAGAAGAGACGAATAGAAGTGAGGAATGATCCAGTGCCTGGTGACGAAGGACATCACCGCAAGGACCTTGAATGATTTTCGCAAGAATTTCGAATAATTTTTGCAAGGTCCTTGAATGATCTTTGAAGTGAGGTCCTTTATCTTCAGGCATTAGATCGCTGTTCGTTTTCTAATTTTGTCCATCTCTACTCCGTCTACTGCAAATACCTCTACTTCACTAGCTCTAAAAGGGAGAAAAATGACGACAGAGACACGAAACTGTATACATTAGTACACAATTAATTACATATTATTCGGTAAAAATTACAAGCACTTTGCTGCAATCCTTCATACTTAGGCCGTGAACTTTTCAATCCACCAGAGTATATACAATCTATATAATAACAAGATATATTATTCTTTTAACTGAACAATTTTTAATTATAATATGATACAATTTATTTACTTTTTGTAAAAATGTAAATTATCTCTGTAAATTCAAGATCGCGGCTGATCTGCCATCGCTGGCCGCACTTTGGGAACCCCTGGTTTAGACCTTTACTCGTGAAACAAAACAAAACACAATTTGAATTGACCAAAAAGTGTTTCTTCCTTTAAAAATGAATAACAAATGTGGAATCAAATGTTTTCGTCCAGTACTTCACTTTCTCAAATAAGTACAAATGAAAATACTTAATTCGACATAGACATAGTCAAGTGCACGAGTACCCGGTGAATATTTAAAATCGATTTTCTCGAAAGCAAAGCCTCATACGAAGAAACTTTATTCTACATTTTCGAATTATTTTTTCATGTTGAATCACTCCGTTTCCGGTCGCACCACCAGTTACCGACCACTCTCTATAAATGTTAATAAACCTTAACATTGCTAAAAAAAACAATGATTGAGAAAATCAAACGATAGCTAAATCGTGTTCGTTAGTAGACGACGAATAAATTTTTACAGCGAATTTTTGGAAAAACGAAGCTTTGTTGAAAAATGTTATTCTTCGTTTTCAATATTACATTCGAAATTTCGATATTTTTCCTGAAAAATTACACCCTGCCAAATAGTACCACGTTTTGTGGGACGCCCTACATTCTGGTTTACCGCGTGATAAATTCTCCTAAGACCTCGAGCGTACCACCTTGATAAATGAGAAATGGCCAAGTGCAGATCAACGGAGGAGTCCAAGCCCAAGGGTGAACGGACCCAGAGTCCACAAATTGCTCGTGCGCCCTGTAATAGGTTCACGACACGTCATTTGCCGCTGAGTGCCACTTCGTGCAAATGACTTTTAACAATTAACCCTGGCATCAAAATTTTCAGTCAAAGTTCCCGAAAATAACTTTACTAGGCGTTCGTGTCACACACTCGATCGTCTTAACACTTTAAAACTAATTCCGTTTCACTTCTTTAGAATTTTGTTTATCGTGTTTTGGTGTAAAGTAAAAGTAGGTCAACTGAAATTTTTCTAAGATGACACAGACTTTAATAAAAATAATTTAGATAAATTTAAATGAACCTTGATTGATGAAGTGTTAGTAAATTTGTAATTTCTTTGAAACATAGATGCGACAATATGATCTACAGTTACGACGTCTGTACGTTATTACTACAACATAAGGCAAATTTGAATTATCCTAGTAATAATATCATTCTTTTCCTGAAGTCCAATATTATAAATTCCTTTTCTTTGTTTTTTCCTTTTATTTTCAGACGTACATACGTATACGTATGTCTGTGTAATTAAGTTATATCTAAAAAAAATTTGCACTTCTATAAAACGAATCTAAATTGTGTTTTCGTAACGAGAATGGTGAAAGCTTTATATAAATTACTAGGTGGCTGCGAGGCAAGCTGCTATAGATGCTGAAGTGCCAATTGTTCCGGGGACAGATGGACCAGTGACCACGTCCGACGAGGCAATGGAGTTTTGCGTGAAACACGGACTTCCGGTCATTTTCAAAGCCGCTTACGGAGGAGGTGGAAGAGGTAGGGTGTTGAATTCTTTTCCTATCGCATCATTTAAGAAACCAGAATGTATTCTGTTGACAGTACATTCCAAATTTGTTGCTGTTTGACTATGTATAAAGAATTATCGTGGGAAGTTACTTAAATCGTTAAGTCCTACGAATTATTGTTTAATATTTTGTTACTGCTTCGTTATCGAACATTCAATATCCAATTTTTTATACTTTCTCATCTTGTATCTTTTTAGTTTTGACTAAATTAAAGAATCTATTTGTCGATATAATATCTGCCGATATTCAGCTTTTCTGTCGTTCACTCAAACAGAAGAAGAAGCTCCGATCGATGATTTCATCAATTTCGTAATGTTTCGTTGATGTAATTTGTTAGAATATTATTTCTACGATAGTAACCTGTACAGGGTGTCTCAGCTGATTTTGACATCTTGATTTTTTCGCTATTATTACTCAAAGCGAAATATGTTTCAGATGAAAGTGAAACTTTACTACTCGTGAAAGAATTAATAACACCAGAACACGCCCCCTCCGACACCGTTTAAAATTCATCTGAAACATTTTCCGCTACGAGTGATAATAACGAGAAGATCAAGACGTCAAAATCAGCTGAAACACCCTGTATATTGTATAATTCGCAATATACAAAAATGTTGTTACTGATTTATAGTACAATAGTAATATCACCTTTACACAATTATTACCGCCGAGGCTTCCGGGTTGTAACCGTGTCCTTATGCACTTCAGCAGGGCTCGGATGACACACTGATACTGGCGTATGTGCCTGGTGGAGGTACGTTATTTAACTGCCCATGTACCAGTTCGTTGCTTTATGTTCCGGTTCACTACTTACCAATCAGAGAGAACTTGGTCAGCTGACCAATTAAAGTTCTCCAAGTCTCGTAAAAGCATACAACATCTATGCACCTTGAGTTTTTTGAAGCGGTGGCATGACCAAAACATCGTGCCCTGTTTCCTTCAACTTAAACATACATTCTCCGTAGCAAAATCCAAACACATCCTGGAACGAGCTAGCTTTGCCTTACCAAGTGAAAGGATTGGTTACATAAAGAAAGAAATTTCTTGCACGTCAGAGAAATTATCCCTGGACCTAGGTAACCACATCAATTCGCGGCTGTGGTACACGATGGATCGAATAAGTTACATCTGTACTCAAAAACAGAAAGAGAAACTCGACAAGTTGTTGGCCATAGTTCAAACCGAACCACTGAATGACACAGTCAGAAACCTCACCCACTTCCTTTAGCCTCTGATACTTTATCCGTCCTAGCTAAAGGCCATAACTTCGCAATTACGCCAAGGCAGGTCTCGAAAGAAGACATCGTCAACCAAGAGAAAAGCGTCATATACAATCTCCCGCCTAAAAAAAGCTAACTAAGGAGGAGGCTGACTGCCAGTAAAAGAAGACATCGTCAACCAAGAGAAAAGCGTCATATACAATCTCCCGCCTAAAAAAAGCTAACAAAGGTAGGAGGCTGACTGCCAGTGTTTGAGATATAGTAATAATCGTTAAAAAGTGCCACATCCAACATAACCAGGGCTGAGAGAAAGAACCTAAAGGCAACCCTATTCTTCCTGTAGACAAAGGAAATATGACAGTGCAAGACTTATTTGAGGACCATACTTATAAAACATTACCCAAATACTCCACAGAAATTATAGAAAGAAAGACCATCAACTTCAGAAAAAAGCCTTTTTACCTGATCAGATACGAAAGATAGCCCTTCCAAAAGAATCTAGGGCTCCCAGACTTTACCGATTCCCAAAAATACAAAAACAAGATATACCATAAAGACCAGTAGTGGTCACCCATGTACAACCTTGCCAAACATCCAACAACCACCCTTAAACCTTACACCGGAAAAACAAACAGTCACATCTAAAATTCAACCGATTTCATCTGAAAACTGCAAAACATCCAAACTAAACCTGGAGAATTCTGGTTAGTTTTGACGTAAACTCCCTTTCACAGCTGTTCCCATTAATGATAGCTTAACACGTTAAACGCCCAGCCTGTTTTGCTTACCGTTCCGTTCAGGCCACGCTTGGCCGTCAAGTGGGCCATGCGAACTATAAACAGAAGACGACCAACGAAAAGTATACTGTCAGTCATCGGTGACTGACGCGGCCTGAACGGAAAGTATAGCGTCAGTCGCCGGCGACTGACATGGCGCTTAACGTGTTAAACATCATTAAGGATATAATACCTGAAAAGCTCTTACCTTTTAGCAGTGGTCCACTAATGTCTCACGTCCAATTACTTCCTTTCAAAGCACCTACTACGAACAGGTATCAGACGCAGCTATAGTCCCTCATCTCCTCACTCATCGCCAATACCTTCATGGAACACCTAGAAGAGCGAATCCTCAAGGAAGCAGCACTCAAAACATCTCAATGATTCAGATATGTAAATGATACCTTCGTAATCGCCACTCACAATTTTCAACATCTTTCGTGTTTTGACAATATATAGAAGTCATAAACACTGTCTTTCTGTCTTATTATATATCTGTGTGTGGACGGAGATCCGTAAATGATACCTTCGTAATCGCCACTCACAATTTTCAACATCTTTCGTGTTTTGACAATATATGTATAGAAGTCATAAACACTGTCTTTCTGTCTTATTATATATCTGTGTGTTGACGGAGATCCCAGTACACATATGGGGAACTGTGTCATAGAGACAATCTCCATAATCCCATGGCCAGGCAACTCTCCCGATAAGAAACCAATTGAGAATGTCTGGAGTTTACTTGAAACACTTGTGTATACATACATCACCAGTCACCACATTAGCTGATTTAAAGAGAAAAATTCTGCATGTTTGGCAAAATCGTCCAAACATAAAGGACATGATAAAACCGGAAAGGATACATGCTGTAATCAAAGCAAAGGGGAGAAACACAAATTATTAATATGTATATGTCTACTTCAGTAGTTAACAAAAATTCTTATTAAATTACATTCAAGCCTTTAAATTTGACTAAAAATACGAAAGATGTTGAAAATTGTGAGTGGCCCTAATTTTTTGGCCAGAGGCTGTAGAGCCATACTCCTCGGCTTCGTCAACTACCTTCATCCTGATATACAGTTCACTATAAAAATTGAGACTAACAACACAATACCCTTCCTAAATATATAGGTTGGCTACAAGGAAACATAATGGGACATATAATAAGGATACCTGGGACATCAGGTATACCGTAAACCAACGCACACTAACAGATACCTACACGCCTCCTCTCACCACCATCCATCCCAGAAAAACCTAGTAATCAACTTTCTAGTATAACAAGCGATCAACATTTGTAAAACAGAACGATTATCTCAAGAACTTGACCACATCGGATCCACCCTACAGCAGAACGGTGTCTCCGGATCGAAAATAGATCGCACTATCGACAAGATTATACACCTTATCGACAGATAACACACTTTGAACAGTGAGAATAACGTTAACACTACCTTCCTACCTCACGTCAACCGATAAACAGACACAAGATTCTCTTGAACGCAGGAAAAGTCATTGCAAATATAGGGAAATGTTGGGGACAATGAAACGACTTAAAAATATCAATAAGGTTGCAGGACATCAGCTAAACCCCACCTGAAGCTCCCTTCTCCCAGTTTTTTGATTGCTCATCTGACCAATTAAAGTTTTCTCTGATTGGTAAGCAATGAACCGAAACATAAAGCAATAAACTGGAACTAGGCATACGCCAGTATCAGTGCGTCATTCGAAGTAAGCTGCAATGCTTACGAAACGTCGGAATACTTTTTCCATAAGGACACGGCTTACAACCAGAAGCCTCGGCAATAATAACTGTGTGACAAATTCCCAATAACAGATTTATACTACAGGCAAAACTACAATTTGATGTACCTATCTCGGGTAACGTATAGAAATGAGGATTTTCAACAAAGCTACTCAAATTTGCATAAGGCTATGTGTATATTAAAGCAGTATAAAAATACAACACAACAGTCTGCTCAACGACTCTAACTAATAATTAATTCCACCTTACACGTATAGTTGGGGCCACGATATAGCGAGGTCGTAAATTAAACTCTCAAGAATCGGCACCGATTGATGTTGCGGCACTCAAGGCCGTGTGTCGCAGTCTGTTTGAGGGTTCCAACAATAAACGAATGGTAGCATATGATTTGGTACTTCAAGTAGAAAATGGTATTTCATTTACAAATGGAAAATATGTTAATATTAAAGCTACACAATCCTTTTGCATTTTCTATCTGTATATAACACGAGCAGGTAAATGAAGATGTTAAAGACCTCAATAAGACCTTTACTTGTAACCGTACTTCCAAAAGCGGCTTTTCCCAGAAGAAAAAAACCCTAAATTGTCTTAGCTGAACTCAATTTTCAGTAAATATATTAGAATCAGTTTGACTTTCGCTGGATGCAAGAATTCTTTGTACGGTCCTGGAACTCAATTTTCAGTAAATATATTAGAATCAGTTTGACTTTCGCTGGATACAAGAATTCTTTGTCCTGTCCATGGTTTCAAGTACTTATCTACTCGTATTTCTGTCAATTTCGGGGTCCCGGCAGCTAAAACATGTTTACTTTGACGCCTAACCGATTTTACGACCTCGCTATATCGTGGCCCCGACTATATACTCTTTCACCGGCACATTTCCTCTTTCTCTGTCTCACCATCCCTCTCGTTCAATTCAGACAAACCACGCGGACAGCCCCAGGACACATTCGGTCACGTTCACCCATAACTTGGGTGGCCATGCACTTTACTTTCACACCCTAATGTCAAGCACTCGGTCCAAACATTCTTCTCTGGCACCTGTAACACTCGAAGCCCAGTCACTCGATACAAACATACATGCGCAATTCCCATTCCTGCGAATTAAAATACAGTTTCGTAAATAATACTATAATTTTCAATCGACTAATTTCAATTGAAACAAAGTAAAACGTTAACCTTAACTTAAAAATTGAATTTTATAGTTAAAGCGTATAATTAAATTGCAAAATTTTAAACAATATTGTCATAGTTCGTTGAACTTTCATTAAACAACATAGACTGAAAATCTGTTTTCACAAAGATGTTAATAACATTGTGCTTAAAATATCGGCGAAGCTGTCGAACAGCTACCTCCTCACCGATTTCGATACCCTTTGAAATATGTCGTCAAGGTCATTGCTCGGAACAACTTTTTCCTATACATACAACGGCTGTTCGGGCTTAGTTTTCGAGTTGTACACAAAAGTATGTTTGGTATCACTATGCATTGCAAGTTGCACCAAAATTCTTAAAAAAAAAAAGTCAGCATTTATAATAACTTTTTAACGAATTCGTTATCATTCAAATCGATCGAAATGAGGTGAAGTGCTGTTGATCTCCACAACGTCAATTTCAAATCAATAAAGGATTAATGGCGGATTCAATATTGATGCAAATTGGCAGGTGATTCCAAATTTTTGGCCGGTAGCGTATGTATTTCCTTTCTATATTTTATACAAAATTGTACATTAGATATAATTATCGCGTGTGTATGCGTTTGTAAGAAATAGATTTTACTTAGATTCTACTTATCCGTGGGCATTCCATTCCATTCCATTTTGGTCACCGCCGTGAAAAGGACTTTTCGAGTTTACGAACTCCATATCTCCGTTCAGCAAGACCCTACCTTCTAGGGCACATGATTCACTGCCCCGAGAAATGGCGATGGAAAAATCCAGCCACGCCGCTGGGGCGTTTTCAGCGGATGAGCCCTTCAGTTGCGTTAATAGTCGACCGGGCAAATACCCCGACGCCGGCTACCACCGCATATCCACGGGGACCTCGAGGAGGCGGACTCACCAGTGCTTACTTATCCGTGGGCAACTCGGTATTTTTCCTTTCTTTTAACGTCACTGGATTCCAATTGCCCGTTTATACCGCCCTCACACGCCCCGCTTATGCAGACCGCCACCACTTAAATAGCCTAACCCTACCTACTCCTTCCCATTCAGTGACTGGAATTTTTATTATTTTGCCCATTGTTTATACGTCACTATGAAGATATCAAAAAACGTCCCTTTAAAATTCATGAGGATGTAACACATCGACAGCCTCACGTGACATGCATATGTACCAAACACACTTTTGTGTATAACTCGAAAACTAAGACCGAACACCTATTGTATGTATAACTATGAAGATATCAAAAAACGTCCCTTTAAAATTCATGAGGATGTAACACATCGACAGCCTCACGTGACATGCATATGTACACGATACCAAACACACTTTTGTGTATAACACGAAAACTAAGACCGAACACCTATTGTATGTATAGGAAAAAGTTGTTCAGAATGATGACCTTGATAACATATTTCAAGGGCGTCGAAATCGGTGAAAAGCTAACTATTCGACAGGTCGACAAAGTATTAGGTGTACAAATTAATTCGGTGCCTTTTTCACATATTTCAATATTTATTTACAGAAAATCAAACACAATTTTAATATTCAAAATAATCTCTCTACGTTTATCAGGTAACTGACCAATTCCCTCTCCGGACAAAATATGGCGGCTTTTAGTCGATAACGTCGTCAAGACTTTGTCAAAAATGGCACCGAGTTAATACGAAATTATTGCGAAAAATACCCGTTTTTTCGTACCTTTCTCAGGAATGAGAGTCGTAAGGCAGATGGAAGAAGTCCGAGAAATGTTCGATCGTGCTTCTTCCGAGGCGGCAGCCGCTTTCGGAAACGGAGCGATGTTCATTGAGAAATTCATTGAGAGGCCAAGACACATCGAGGTCCAATTGTTGGGCGACACCGCTGGCAATGTCGTTCATCTTTACGAACGTGATTGTTCCGTACAACGCCGACATCAAAAGGTCAGTAAACAGAAAGTAGATACTAACATTCATAGATCATAGTCATTCGTCAAGTTCTCTTGTGCGAGGTCCAATTGTTGGGCGACACCGCTGGCAATGTCGTTCATCTTTACGAACGTGATTGTTCCGTACAACGCCGACATCAAAAGGTCAGTAAACAGAAAGTACATACTAACATTCATAGATCATAGTCATTCGTCAAGTTCTCTTATATATTCACCGTGTTTGCACGTCCTAACTATTCGTACGTATTCCTACACACTGTGTCTGCGCAGCGGTTTATGGCACGGACGTGCCGAAACGGTTATTTTTGAGAATGGGACTTTGATAATTGGCAGCATGTAATTTTAGTAAAAATTACGTCCCGGCGAGAGAAAGTTGGGTTTACAACCCTCTGGCCTCTAAGGCGCTTTCCCTCGTCCTCAATAACCTAGCCCTACCATAAAAAATGGGTCTTCCGAAGGGGTGAGTCACGAGTCAGCGTGTAACGGTCAAGGGACCGAGGTGACGAACTCGGAGGAATTCCCGTGCTGTTGCCAGACACTCGTCAATTTGACAAAGGACATCGCCACCCCCTCTCTAAGGAAACGCGTGTTAAGGGCGCAAGAGAAGGGTGTCGCGATGCATCTTCTACACGCCGATTAGTGTTTTCGAGAAGCAGGAAAACAGCCAATCGGAAGAAATTAGTATTAGCAGCGGCAAGTCGACGAGCATCATCGATTTGCGAAGTCAGTTATCTCTGAGCAACGATAGAGCGAAGTCCTAACTCTGCAAGCCCAGCAAACAAGCTAGTCCCACAGAAACCATACAGTCTCAGAAAGGTAGAAACTCTTCTGGGTGGTCCTTCGAGTTATTGTAGACGGCACATTAGAGTGCAATAATCCAAGGACGCGAGTGCAACGGCAGAGCGCTCAAATCCTCCACACACTGTCAATAATTAATCGAATAATCACAAAATAATTGCAAAGCCCATGATTTAAGAAGATTTTTAGGAAGACTGTTATAACTGTCAGAAGTGAAAGAAACACTGCATACCGATCTGAAATTTTGTTATTAAGTATCTAAATAAAAAGCAATGTGATCTTTGGGGTAACGGAAAGTTTATCGTATTTATAGTATTGAGAAAGAGATTGAATTTGTAGTGTTACATGCGTGTAACAGCATCGAACGAAATTTATTGATAGAAATGTTATATAAGCTATGGTAATATGATCGAAACTATAGTTACACAACAATAACACTGCATGGTCTGTTCCGTCCGAAGGAACGGAAAACGGTTGATCTTTCGTTTGGCACGCGTTGTGACACGGGGTCGCGAAGAAGGGTTATTTCTGAGATTCACGAGTTCAGCTTACTGTTTTAACCGTTAACATATTTCTTGCCGGAAGAAATTATTTTATTGCCTGAGCTTCTAGAATCTTCATTTTTGCCCGTCCTCAATAATCGAAGGACGTGTCATAAAGCCAGAGTTCCTTAAGGGCTGACTCCAAATCGATTCCTAATGGTACACAGAGCCGTTGAGTCACAATGTGGCAAAAATCCAACACCGTCGTCAAAGGCCATTTTTGGCCCCGCGTGGAAAGAAACATTCATGTTGAAAAAGAAAAAAAAGTAATCTTAGGATGGTATGTGAACTTACGGTTTATGTTACTAAATTAAAAAAAAGAAAAAATAAGCACCAAAAAACATTTTCTTCCATATTCCCGTTTAGAAATCATTCAAATCGTGCTACAAACAATTTTCGTGACGTTAAAAACAAAGAGGACGTTAAAGTGGCCTGCTCCAACTGGGTCACCCTGTATATTGTGTTTTTGTTCGACATTGTATTTACTATTAATAATGAGTTACATGCTTTTCACCTTTATTTCAGTACTCTATTGTTGACATTGTTAAATAGCAAATTAATTTACAGAAACTGTTTCAACGTGTTTGAATAATACTACAATTTTCTGCTTTAATTTTTCTCTCGTACCAATCTCTTGTAAGATAAACCTGAAAATTATACAGCATGACTATTTTGTAGATACATTTAATATCGGTATCATGTCTTATGTTATATTTCACTTTACTGTAATATCTTTATTTAGTGGTATTACTTTGTGTTCATAATAATACTTCAATCAACTCAATTGTAAAGTTCAGTAGCTCATGTTTCATAACGAACGAGTAAACGTATATACATCTTTACTCTTACTGCTCTACCTGTCGTGTATTATATTGAAAACGAGGGCAGCATTGGCCAAGTACGGAAAACGTTTGCACGGAAAAAAAAGGAAGTAGTAATTAAAAGATTCCAGAGCGACGCACTTGTTTAGACGTCATGGGAACAAAAATTGAATTGCAAAATTGCTCAAAGCAAGAATTTTTATTTCATTGCGGAGAAACATGCGTTCTAATGGTAATTACCATTTGCTAATTAGAATGGAAATTTCAGGTCGTCGAAATTGCTCCTGCGCCACGATTAGATCCCAAGGTCAGAAATAAGATGACCGAGCACGCTGTAAGATTGGCGAAACACGTCCGTTACTCGAACGCTGGTACCGTCGAATTTTTAGCCGACGAATCCGGCAACTTCTACTTCATCGAGGTCAATGCTAGATTGCAAGTAGAGCACACTGTAACAGAGGAGATCACTGGGTAAGTAGGAACGATGAACGAAAACATGAGACGAGAATAGTAGATCCAAAGAAAAATTAATTGACACGTATATTAAGCATGGAGACAAATAGCTTTACAGAAACGTCAGGAATACATGATTCGAATCTTATGTAGAATTGCATAAAGTATCCTGTTTTCTGACTAGTCCTCTTGCAAGAAATGTTTTGAAAATCAGTATTTGATAAAAAAAATGTAAACAAAAAAGTATTAACGTTTAATATAAAATTTGAACAAATAGATATTTGTCGTTAAAACCGCGCACACTTTTGACATTAAAATTCTTCTTGTGAACTCAATGTCTTCTGAGATGTTGAGAAAAGTAGATTTTGTATACATAATCTTACAATTAGAAATTGTACAACATAAATAAATTTAAAATTTTAATTTAAAAAAATACGCGTCAAATACTTATTTCTTAAACTTTGTATAATAAAAGGGGTTTGCGAAAAGCAATGTATGAAACTTGATGACTGCGTTGTACATCCAAATCGAATGAGCTCTTGTATTCCTAGAATTATCGATATCGAATGCCATGCTTTTACTGAACTAACACGGGATTATTTCAGAATTGACCTGGTGCAATCTCAAATCCGCATTGCCGAGGGTATCACGTTACCTGAGCTAGGTATGACGCAGGAAAAGATTTCTCCTCAAGGATTCGCTATACAATGTCGAGTAACAACGGAAGATCCTGCGAAACAGTTCCAGCCAGATACCGGAAGAATTGAGGTGTTCCGTTCTGGAGAAGGTATGGGTATCCGGTTAGATGGTGCGTCCGCATTTGCTGGTGCGATTATTTCACCTTACTACGATTCACTGCTCGTTAAGGTAAAATTCCATGCAAATGTCAATCTTTGAATATACATAGATAAGCTATTCGAGACGATGAAACGATTATGCTTTTAACACGTTCCGTGCTGGACCGATTTTTGGTCACTTTCCATATACGCCCCACGTTGTCGAGACTACCAGTTTTGCTTTTGACCCTATGTGTCTTCTAATATTTATAAGATTGCAAAAATCATTGTTATCAAGAAAAAGGTAACGTTTAAGATGCACTGTAGAACAAAAGAAAAATGTTTGTTTTAACAAATTATCGTCGTAGTTGCATAGTTTAAATCAACGGAAGGAAAAGGCAGAAATATCGAATAGCTTGAACGGAAAGTTCAGCGTATACGCCACACGCGGCACGGACAGTGTTAAAGACAAAAAATACTTATTAAAGAAGTAATTTAATATACTGCATTATTCAGTATACTGAAGATTTTGTCAAGTGATGAAATCGTTTGAGTTTATAATACTTTGTTTTTGGTTAAATAATACGCTTAGGGAATTGAAAAATAAGTGAAACCCTAGTTTAGCATAAAAGCTTTTATGGAGTAACTTATATATTTGGAAATATCTATACAACACAATACGTTACAGTTAAATCTATAGTCCAATCTTTCAATCTACTTATTTGTTCTGTGTGCTAAGTATATTTTCCATATTCTGTAACACAATTCGTTATTCTGTAGAAATACTTAATCTATTACAACTTGTTAATTCCGTGTAGTTCAAAGCTACGTAATATACAGTAAATTCCCTACAAGAGTCAGTAAGTTTGGATTCTACAAGTGACAGTATAGATGGTCCTACGCCTAGGTCTGCGTCATTGCTGCGCCCATGTTATCTCGCTCGCAGTCAGTCAAGCGTGTAACGCTACACCAGTCGGTTTCCTTTACGAGATTACACGGCTCGACAAATCATAATAGAAAAATATAATTTCTTTAATTTTTACTTTTTTTCATCTGGAATTTTATTTAACATCATGTTGGTGAGATTTTTCTGATGAAAATGATATCAAACACGATATAATTTGAACAACATTTACTTATTAACACGTTCACTGTCGCGCCAGATTTACAGGTTGCTGTCAGGCGGCCACAAGAAAATACATTTTAAGCATAGGATTATAGTATTATGCTTTATAATTTTTTTTTTTTCAATTGAAAATAATGTCTAGCTAGCTATGACGTTCAAAATTTTTAGTTGACAACATTTATTTTATTTTAATTATTCTAAACATTTGAGGCACTCCAGTCACTGATGACCACCATGGCCATATCGAGGAAACAATCTAACGTTAAAACTTATTGAGTGATTAATTTAATTTCATAATATATCGCTTTAGCGAGCCACCGTTTGGTTGTCAATTGTTTATCACATAGAGTCGGCCTACCTCCACGTAAAAAAAAAAAAATGTAGGATCGAATCGACAAGTGTCAGTCAAATGTAGGGTCGATAGCAGCAGAAAAGCTGCTAAACAATTAGAATTAAATGTAACGATAGAAATTATTGCAGTAATGCGTAATGCAATCGAAAAATTTAAAGAATCAAAAGAAAAAACGAGAATTCATATCTTTCTTGATTCTAGAATATAAGAAAATTTGAATAAAATACGCGACGAGAATTGGGGAGAAGCATAAATTAAACGCGTAAAAATATTCAATAATAAACGAACTAGGGATGAAGCTATTATTTCAATACGCGATGCACTGACTCTAGTATTTACTAAAATTCAAAAATTCTCGCATAAATTCCGAAAATAGATTATTAATTACGGTAAACTACTGAGACGGTTTAATTTAGGGTGGGCATAGTGCACTCGTTCCAAATCAGCTCACAATATACAATAATAAATCAACTAACTACTTAACATGCAATTCATGCAAATTCCTTAGATGGTAAATTATTAGTAAACAAAATAGCAAGTCATAAAATAAATTCAATATCAGAGAAAATATATGAAAAATTTCAAATTAATTTCAATTGCTGGAAGAAAAGTAAATATTGATTGTTATGCTGTAACGATAAGCTATTCGACAAGTCTGAAGAACAACGATGACTAAAATTCAAATGTTTATTTCCCTAAACCTTCAAAATAATTTCGAAATATTTTATTCGAAGCGGAGTATTCCAAGTCAGTATCGATAATTGAAGAAATTATTTGATTGTATTTAAAAGAACCGAAAGGAGAATATTTAAAGTCTGATATTAAATGTCTAGCAAGTACCAGTAATTGGTAAAATGATTTATATTTGTTTTAAAAGGAAAATTTCTAATAGGTATTAGTTAAAATGAATTGTTATTCAGTCTATTGTATTGAAATTCTAATTGATTCTAATGTATACAAGTGTTACAAGAAGGCTGAGTGTGTACAGGGTGGACATAGGCTACCTAGTAGCCCCCGACCACTCTATGAACTTTAACGTCTATAGAATTCGCGTTTTTTCTTTTGATTCTTTCAATTTTTCAATTGCATTACGCATTATTGCAATAATTTCTATCGTTACATTTGTATGTATTCAACGTTTGTTTGTTTTAGTGTCGTGAAATGAATTATATTACACATTTTCTCTATTCACACTGAATTTAAAGATTATAACGATTAAAAATCAAGTTGACCTGTGGTCATTTATCAAGAATAATCATAATAAAGCTGAAATTATTGTGTTAAATAATTTTTTTAATACGAATTAGGAATTTATTCAACGTTTGCTTGTTAGAATAGAACGATAAATTTAGTGTAAATATAGAAAACGTATAATATAATTTATTTCATGGTATTGTAACAAGCAAACGTTGAATAAATTCCTAATTCGTATTAAAAAAATTATTTAACACAATAATTTCAGCTTTATTATGATTATTCTTGATAAATGACCACAGGTCAACTTGATTTTTAATCGTTATAATCTTTAAATTCAGTGTGAATAGAGAAAATGTGTAATATAATTTATTTCATGGTATTGTAACAAGCAAACGTTGAATACATTTTTCATTCGTGTAAGAAGAATTATTTAACACGATAAATTTAGCTGTACTATGGTTATTTTTAATCTACGACCACAGGTCAACCTGATTTTTAATCCCTACGAAATTAATTTAACCACGAGTAAGTAACGAGAACGCTAAAACCTATGTTTCCATTGAAGAATATTGTAAAAACGTATAAATTGTTATATGCAATGTTATAACAAATTGTCGGAAGTATAAATTTTTAATAAAATTGTGAAAATTGATAAATTATACCGTGTTACGATATCGGAAATCTCCCGCGAAAATCTCCCGCGAAAATTTCCCGCCTGACCTAACCGACGATTTTGCTAATGACTTTGGGGAGAGGGTACCGCAGGTATATAAGGACCCGCCGATGTCCCGCGAAATCATTTACCCTTTATACTGGGCCCTAGACACTTCGCGGCGTATTTTGACCTGAAGGTTCTGAGATGTGAATAGAGTGGTCGGGGGCTACTAGCTAGTCTATGTCCACCCTGTACACACTCAGCCTTCTTGTAACACTTGTATACATTAGAATCAATTAGAATTTCTATTACTAATTATTAAACAAATTTTAACAATTACCGGCACTCGCTAGGCACGTAATATCAGACTTTAAATACTCGACTTCGAACTTCGGTTTAGTCATAATTCTATTAATGTTATAATAACGTATAATTTATTAATTTTCACAATTTTATTATTAATTTATACTTCCAAAAATTTGTTAAAACATTACATATTATTATTTATACATTTTTGCAAGTTTCTTTGACAAATAAGTACGTTTCAACGATCTTATTACTTTCTCGTTGTGAAATCAAGTTCGGAGGATTAAAAATCAGGTTGACCCTTGGTCGTAAATTTAAAATAGCCATAGTGAAGGTGAAATTATTATTTTAAATAAATGTTTCTATACGAATTAAGAATCTATTCAACGTTTGTTTGTTGCAATACCGTGAAATAAATTGTATTATATATTTTCTCAGTTTAGACTGAATTTAAAGTTCGTAAGGATTAGAAATCAGGTTGACCTGTGGTCGTAGATTAAAAATAGCCATAGTGAAGGTAAAATTATTACGTTAAATAATTGTTTTTATACGAATTAAATATTGATTCAACGTTTATTTGTTGCAATACCGTGAAATAAATTGTATTATATATTTTTTCTGTTTACACTAAATTTAAAGTTCTGTTTACATGTTATAACAATTAGAATGTAGACGTTTTGCCGTTTCACGGTTTTTCCTCTGTTAATTATGTGTTTATAAATCATTTCAAACTAAAGCAGCACCATGCCCACCCTTAATTAAACCGTCTCAGTAGTTTACCGTAATTAATAATCTATTTTCGGAATTTATACGAGAATTTTTGAATTTTAGTAAATACTAGAGTCAGTGCATCGCGTATTGAAATAATAGCTTATACAGATAATCTTTTGAAATTACTCTTAATTAGGGAAAATCTTGAATCTTGTATGGAAGATGAAGATTTTCAGGAAATATTTATTTTTCAACAATGAATTTTTGTTTTATCGATTAATAACGTACGAAATGATTTTTGGAAAATTTTCTTCGTTTGAACGTTCGTTTAAGGTTCGACTATGATTATCAAATCTCTCGAAACACCGTAGAATGTTCAATTTTAAAAGTAACTTCTTCAATTTTTGGATAATCTGGGTAACGTGTTAGTGTTGACGATACACTTTCGAGTATAGACGTTAAAGTTCATAGAGTGGTCGGGGGCTACTAGGTAGCCTATGTCCACCCTGTACACACTCAGCCTTCTTGTAACACTTGTATACATTAGAATCAATTAGAATTTCAATACAATAGACTGAATAACAATTCATTTTAACTAATACCTATTAGAAATTTTCCTTTTAAAACAAATATAAATCATTTTACCAATTACTGGTACTTGCTAGACATTTAATATCAGACTTTAAATATTCTCCTTTCGGTTCTTTTAAATACAATCAAATAATTTCTTCAATTATCGATACTGACTTGGAATACTCCGTTTCGAATAAAATATTTCGAAATTATTTTGAAGGTTTAGGGAAATAAACATTTGAATTTTAGTCATCGTTGTTCTTCAGACTTGTCGAATAGGATATTGAAATGACTTTGAGTGGTTGCTTTTTCGTTAGGGCATAACAATCAATATGTACTTTTCTTCCAGCAATTGAAATTAATTTTAAATTTTTCATATATTTTCTCTGATATTGAATTTTGTTTACTAATAATTTACCATCCAAGGAATTTGCATGAATTGCATGTTAAGTAGTTAGTTGATTTATTATTGTATATTGTGAGATGATTTGGAACGAGTGCACTATGCCCACCCTAAATTAAACCGTCTCAGTAGTTTACCGTAATTAATAATCTATTTTCGGAATTTATACGAGAATTTTTGAATTTTAGTAAATACTAGAGTCAGTGCATCGCGTATTGAAATAATAGCTTCATCCCTAGTTCGTTTATTATTGAATATTTTTACGCGTTTAACTTATGCTTCTCCCCAATTCTCGTCGCGTATTTTATTCAAATTTTCTTATATTCTAGAATCGAGAAAGATATGAATTCGCGTTTTTTCTTTTGATTCTTTCAATTTTTCAATTGCATTACGCATTATTGCAATAATTTGTATCGTTACATTTAATTCTAATTGTTTAGCAGCTTTTCTGCTGCTATCGACCCTACATTTTACTGACACTTGTCGAATCGACCCTACATTTCTTTTTTTTTTTTTACGTGGAAGTAGGCCGACTCTTTGTGATAAACAATTGGCAACCAAACGGTGGCTCGCTAAATCGATATATTATGAAATTAAATTAATCACTCAATAAATTTTAACGTTGGATTGTTTCCTCGATATGGCCATGGTGGTCATCAGTGACTGGAGTGCCTCAAATGTTTAGAATAATTGAAATAAAATAAATGTTGTCAACTAAAAATTTTGAACGTCATAGCTAGTTAGACATTATTTTCAATTGAAAAAAAAAAAATTATAAAGCATAATACTATAATCCTATGCTTAAAATGTATTTTCTTGTGGCCGCTTGACAGCAACCTGTAAATCTGGCGCGACAGTGAACCTGTTAATAAGAAAATGTTGTTCAAATGATATCGTGTTTTATGTCATTTTCATCAGAAAAATCTCATCAATATGTTAAGAAAAATTTCGGGATAAAAAAACGTAAAATTAACGTTGCCTCGACTCACGTTTCATGCTTATCTTTTATTCGCTGTCCTTGTCTTCGTTCGGCAAACTACAAAGGCGGGCGCGAGGCTCGAAAACGTAGTCCCTGACTCTACGAGCGTCAGGTTTAGCTTCCTTGCGGTCTGACACTTGTGGGGAATATACTGTATTCGGCAACAAATGGAAAAGATTTAAGATTCTATGTATACATCTAACAAAATAAGGCGAAAATTCGAAATAAAAAATTGAGATTCCGGTTTCACTTTTTAATTATAAGCAGTTAACATATAGCCTGAATCATGACAATCCGCTGAGCACCAGCAAATACAGAGCAATTTCCACAGGGGCGAGAGAAGGGAGAGTCAGTAATTTCCTTTCACACGAACTGGGTATAATTTCTAGCTTATAAAAGCTGTGTAAGCTGTGTAAAGGAATTCTACGACATTCGACTTTGTAAACGATTCTGAGACTCTTTGTAAAAAGAATTATCGGTTAAACATTAAGTCTGCTTACTCGTTGCAATTCACAATTTGTTCCATGGAATTTTCGAATAGAAAGATGCTTGTCCACAAAAATGTCCATAGAAAAATCCCCATGCATTGATTAATCGACATAAAAATAACTAAGGCTAAGGTGAAATCATTATTATATTCATCGCGCTGAGTGACTTTTCATTATCGTTATCAAAATTGTTCTGCCTTTCAGAAAAAATCCAGAAAGTCTACATAATGACGATTTTACTTATTTATAAGTTGATAAATTAATGCATATCAATTTTTTTGTGGACATTCGTGACGTGTGTGGATTTTTCTTTGGAAAATCGTAAAATATGTATGTACGGAATCTTTATGGATAATCATAATATTTGCATTTATCGATTACTTATAGGGAGACGGTTGTATAGTGAAAAAGAAATTATTCCTTTCCACCCAAAAATTTCGTTAAGCGGAATTTGATAGGTCCTTATGAATTTCAACGAGTAGGCAAGTTGAACACTTAATTTTATTTGTAAAACATTCCAAAATCGTTTATGATGTGAAATATTGCAAGATTCTTTCTCACAGTTTCTATGGGGTGAGCTAGAAACCATGCTCCATTAGCGTTCAAGATCATTGAATCTCTCTTTCCTTCCCTCTGCTAAGAGCTGCCCTACATTCATCGATGCTAAGCCACAGGTTATTTTTTAACTGCTTATAACTAAATAATAAATGTGAAATATTAACTTTTTTAATTCTTGTTTTTCATCTTATTTTGTCACACAAAATCACGCCTTAAAATTTCTCCTACCTGTTGCTCAACATCCCGTATAATATTTCGAATTTCCATACGGAATGGCGGAATGGTGAAAACGGTATCTTCTAACGAAACAATTGCAAAGAATAATGCAATTCTTATATCAAAACTTTTGCATTTAATTCAGAATTTCTCTTTTCTAACGTACATGTCGTTTAATATTACAAATTATTCTACTCAACTTTTAATAGATACAGATCCACTTGACGTAAACTTAATAAATTAACAGAAATACTGAACGACATGTTTTCTTACTTTTCAGGTGATAGCTCATGCTGGTGACCTACAGTCATCCTGTGCAAAAATGAACCGTGCTCTCCGCGAGTTTCGTGTTCGCGGTGTGAAAACGAATATTCCATTCCTTTTGAACGTGCTGGAGAACCAAAAGTTCCTCAACGGAAATGTTGATACTTACTTCATCGACGAGAACCCGCAGCTATTTCAATTCCAACAGAGTCAGAATCGTGCTCAGAAACTGTTGAATTACCTCGGCACAGTTCTCGTGAATGGACCAAGTACTCCGTTGGCGACCTCGTTGAAACCAGCTGAAATAAAGCCCCACATTCCTCAAGTCGCATTAGGTATGGTATCAAAGCTTCGACTAACAATAGCAATAAGGAAACATTCGATCACTTACACTCGTGACGCTAGGATTGAATCATGAACAACTTGTCACTTCAAATTCGTGGCAAGAGTAATTGGGTACTATTGAAATATCGAAAGCACACATAGGGCTGCTTTTAGTATGAGGCACAGCAAATCAAGGATTCAGACTATTTTCTCCATTACTTGAGCATAAAGGGTGTATACTGGTGGCTGTGTAGCAGGCTCTTTCTTAAATTTATTGCGTCCATGGAACAGTGAGCAACCATAGAAAATTTTAGTTCGGGCTTTAAATAGAAGATCATTAATAAGTGAAGGGAGTTAGAATTTTAGATTAAAGAAAATAGATTTTTATCAGCTAATAGAGGATGGTGGTAGAAAAAGAATGTTCATTGTTTTCAGTTTTTTTATGGTACTTCTTTGTAAAATAACAAACAGAAATAGTAGATTAATCACAGGAAGAATCAATTTTAACGAAAGTACTTTTATTTTTACTTACAGTAGGACACTTCAAATCTTCATATAACTCTGAAAATTAACTTACGCACATGTTCACATCAATATCTTATATATGTTTATATAAAATAAAGTATGAAAATATATTGTAAAAATGCAGTATTATTGTATGAGATTATGTACTTAGTGATCAATGTTCCATGGAGTAATGATTCTGAAACACGGGTTCAAAAATTAACCTTTTGTTGTCCACAACATATTATTTAATTGCTTCATCCATCATTTATATATTGTTTTTCAATATTAATTATTAAAGGAGATTTACCACTTCATATATTTTTTGTTTATTAATTGTTTCATAAGTTATTTTAAGGAATATTATTTTAAGAACTTGAAATATATTATTATTGTTTACTGTTGCCAGATATTCTTTATTAGAAACAATGAAAATGAGAATGGAGTCTAAAATTCTTGCTATGTCACTACGACATTAATATAGTCATAACCAACTAAGAGTGTGACAGACTTCTTGTCACATTAAAGGACCTCAAAAGGTTAAAATGTAGTTCCCGAGTAAGGATTTACAGCTTGCAAAAGGTCTTTCTGAAATTCATAATTGGTAACTAAACTTTACGATCACTAATTTTGTGTTTAAAAAGAAACTATCATGTTGCACGATCATTTATTTACATCTCCAATACATATTCAAAACACTGAATAAATTTTTAGTAACTATCAGTCGTAAGATAAGATAATGTAATAATATACAACATAAAACTTAAAAAAATAATACATATACTCATTTAAGTTTTCCTTTATTCAATTTTTGTTAACATTATTTGAATTAGTGTTTATGTGTATACATTTTACAATTGTGTAAGTACCATTTTCGATGCTCTTGTATCAGGTTGAAAAACAATTGTAAGAAGTCCACACTATTTAAAATTTTCTGTTGCACACTATATTTATTTATATTTATAAAAATTATAGCACCAAATATACACACATACACGTATCACAATTGGCACAAAATTCATTAGTTTTTTAACATTCTATTGTAGCATGGTCTTCTTGTGTTTTCAGAGTATAATTTTAGACTTTTCATTTGGCACACAATCTGATGAAAATATTTGTCACTTAAAACTTCTGTATTTATGTTTATTAATTGATAACAATTATACTCCTATGAGGGATTCTAACAAGCAATAGTCCCCAGTGTCACATGACAATTTTAATGAAATTTTTGTAGTATAGAGATATTCTCACAAAGAGTATTATATTTAACGCACATTTTTTAAACATTGAAGTGAAACCACCTTCTATAATACTTTGTCCAATATCTTGGAACATATCAAGTTTAGAAAAATGATTTAAATGCCAAAATTGTATCTCTTTATTAATGAATTTAGTTACTGTGCAAGAAACTTTTAGAAAATTCTACTTATTTAATTAGTATATGTTCCAAATTAATATTGTTTTATTAACTTTTGCTGTAAAATGTTAATTCATTTTTACAAAACTTTGTGAATATGAACTGCCAACCAAAGTAGAAAATACAAAAGAACATACAGAAAATAACAAAAGTTTCATAGTTTCTTAGATATTTAGATAAAAACATCTTCATGTACCTTGTATCTTTTAAGAAAATGCAAAAAATAAATATCACATGTTTCGAGAAATACTTTGTACAAAAATTTTATGAAAATCGATGAGTGACCATTGGAGACTCTTCCTTGTGAATGCAACGTGTCGTCTTTTCTTCGATCACTATTTTTTCAATTTATCTGTTGTTCAATAACTGTTTTTATTTGTACTATTAGATGTTAATGATCTTCTGTAATTACACCTCGTTGTTTATCGCATGCTTTTATCTTTTCGTTTGGCAATTTTTTTAGACTTTGCTAAGCTTGCAGCTGCAGAAGAGAACAATGATCCAGACGCACCAGGTACGCCTATAACGTATTATCGATATCTTTTTTAATTTTTATTTTTAAGTGATTAAAATATTGCTTTGGTATAATTTAAAATCAAGTATAAATTCGGTTTATTTGACCTCTGCTTTTTAAAACCGAATATTTTTATTGGTTTTATATTGATTCCTTTGCAGATACATAATTGTACACTTTTTGAACTGTTTATACCATTGATTTAATAATGAAGGTGACTAGATGTACATGTAGATTAAAAAAGTATTTTCAAGTAGGGAAACTTCCAATAAGAAATTTATTATATTCCTGATATTGCATTAGATAGAATGGTTCAAATTATATCTTTTCATTTATACACTTTGTTCACTTGTTAATTGTTTAGTATATGTGTATTCTATTTACTGCTACTTGTTTAAGAATGATACTTAATTCATATAATTTAAACAAATATGACATTTATTGGCAAACTTATATAAGATAATAGTAGAAATTCATTGCAAAATAAGTTTCAAATATTCAAATTTCCATAAAACCTTCAATGATATTATTTATGGAATATTATACAACTATCATTGGAATTATTTCATAACAAAAAAAAAACTGAAAATACATCTTTGAAGAAAATATGTAATAGAACTCTTAGGATACAATATGTAAATACATATACATAAGTATCAAGTTAATATGTTTTAAATATGGGATTACTATTGCTTTAAAATAAATATTGGTAATAAGTGCCAAATTTATACACAAATACGAAAAAAGAAAAATACAAACTACTAGAAATTAATTGTCATGCTTAATTTATCCATATGTGCAATGTGCCACATTATGAATAAAAACAGAACAACGAACGAGGGAAAAATGAAGAGTGAAAAATGTCTCATGCACTAAAGCAATAACTTCCATATAATTGCATACATTACATTCCAAATTAATAAAATTTCAAGAACATACACTAGTTAGGAAAACGAATAAACATTGGAATAATTATAGATCCACACTTTCCCAATTCCAGAATTATAAACTCTTTCAATACTACAAAATTAAAAACATCTTCTAATATCGATCGATATTAAAGAGCTTGAAAATTTTGTGGATATTAGCTATTCATTTGCTATTTATTTACTTAATAAGAATTGCTTTTAATCTAAATTTATTTAATACGTAGAATAGAACTCAAACAGTTAATAATTATAGTAGTATAAAAATTTTAAAAATCAAAAAATTAGAAACAGTATTAAGTAGTTATAGCATTATAGTATCATTATGCATACTCTATTTAAATAATATACAGGGTATTCCATGGAAAATGGAAAAAGCTGCATTTTTAAATCAAGTGAAGATGGAACAAATTTCAAATAAAGCAAAATTAAATGATATTAAACACTGTATATTATTATTATTTTAAATGTGCAATTGCACCCTCTCTTTTGTAATGGACTGTTATACTTTAGAGTATGCTAATCAATGCAGTCTTTGACCTTTTATAGAAAACTCTTCAGTTACTTGTGCACTTTAAGATATAAGTACCTTAATAGTTTTTTGTAGAGACCAAAATGTTGTATAGATGAATGCACTCAAAGTATAGGATTTCATTTAAAAGAAAGTTGTAATGATACTTTTTCAATGTGCAGATACGTAAAAGTATATAAAAGTAATAGGTCAATCTACAAGTAATGTTATTTTTACTGTTACTACATTTATTAATCAATGATACATTGTCCATTATTTTATAAGAGCATATTCTACTTTTTAGATAATTTTTTAATTGCTCTTGGCAACTGAGACTAAATGGGCAATAGAGAATGCATAATATATGTATATTTTATTTTCTCCATCTATACCTCATAGTTTTTGGATATAACAATTACTTTTTTAACAGAAGACTTAAACCTAAATATTAACCTTTGCTAACAATGGTCCTCTAGTGTTTATTGCAACTTATTTCTCCCATTATTTTTTGAAATAGGGAATCCATAGTATATAAAATACATTTGTTTCAGCAAGCAAAATAAGAAAGGACATTACTTATAGAATCATCTAATAATATAGGAATATACAGCATTTGGAACTATTTAATTTTTCCCTGTATAACTCCCTGTATTACACCCTGTATAACTCAAATTAGAAAAATTTGATCCATAAGAAACAAGCAAATAATTTTTGTATAGTTCTCCCTGGGCAAATTTTCCATTTCCACTTTTCAACCAATCTCTCTCATTGTAACGCTTCTTTCAGGCACTGCACATGCAAGCTTATTAACCCCTAAACGTAAAAGCTGCTCAAGGCTTTCAGAAATATTCAATTTTCAATCAAACCTCCAAAATTTTCCAGGTGTATTGGATCCACCGAAAGGTTTCCGTCAAATTTATAAGGAGAAAGGTCCAGAAGCATTCGCCAAGGCAGTAAGGCAGCACAAAGGATTGCTTCTGATGGACACTACTTTCCGTGATGCTCATCAATCGCTTCTGGCAACTCGCGTCAGATCTCACGATCTTCTCACGATCTCACCATTCGTCGCACATAAATTCAGCAACCTTTATTCCTTGGAAAATTGGGGCGGTGCTACGTTTGACGTTGCTCTCAGATTCTTGCACGAGTGCCCGTGGGACCGGTTGGAGGACATGAGGAAGGCCATACCTAATATTCCTTTCCAGATGCTTCTTCGGGGCGCCAATGCTGTCGGCTACACCAACTATCCTGACAATGTTGTCTACAAATTCTGTGAGCTGGCTGTACAGACTGGAATGGATGTATTCAGGGTATTCGATTCGTTGAACTACCTACCCAATCTTATTCTCGGTAAATATCTTTGTTAAAGTTTCTCGGAATTTGATTCTAAGCCTTGTACACGTTATTTGTAGTTTTCTACGTATACGTAATTAAACTGGTTCTTCTGCAGTACTGTTCATCATCTATCGAGAGGTCCATGCGACTAAAACAATTCATATCTCTTTTTTGATTGTAATTAGAAAAAAATCTTAGAGAAAGCAGATTATTTTCAAGATTATTTTTTTTTTTTGCAAGTCTAACAATGCATGTGTATTTTACAGTCGCACCATTTTTTAAAGTAGATTTTTCTTTTTTACAAAAATAATAGGGTAAAGTAGTTGAGAAATGATTAGTTCGTGAGATATTCGGTTATGAAAACAATGAAAAAGCGATGTACAAAATGTTTAGCACTAATAGAGGATTCGATCTACGTAAAAAAATATACATTTCTGTTTACGTACTTCCCGCGATTTTTGTTGAATAGAATTCGAGTTGACGATTGTGAAATTTGCACAAATCACTCACGTACTGACTGTTTTATTTACTTATCCTAATTGAGCTGAGGGTACTCTGAGGAAGAGCGCGATACAAAGTGCTTGCTTCGCTAGTTTCAAATTTTTAAAGGTTCTCAAAAATAGCCTTGCCAGTAGTCCGTATCATAAATCCAATCGCCTTAACAATTTCTATTCAATGACTTGTTCCAATTGCATGGGCCTGTTATAAAAAGGGTGTGTGCACGGTTTGCTCCACCGCTGTCACCCTTTTATTATAGGGATTTACGGCTGGGGGTGCGTGTTAGACTAAACATTCGGCGCCGCACGCTTCGGGTAGAACGCGTACGTAACAGGCCATTCTAAATATACAGTGTAATTTCTTAAAATTATACAAGGTCAACTGTATAATTTATAATGTCAACCGTATAGTGATAGAGATGATAGCGTGATGTGTTCTTGGTATGTGTGCAAAAATGCATGTTAATCGACTCAAGGTATCTGAATGTGTCGTTTCGAGAAAAACGCGTATAAAATATTTAGAAAGATTGATTAAGAATTCGGCGAATTTTTAGGCACTCTTCACACGCTAACTTAATTTTCTACGAGATGATTGAATAAAACTTTCGAGAGAAGAGTATTTTTGGTTCAACGTTGACGACGCCTAGTCTCGTTTGAATTTGTTTGCTTCGTTTAAAAAAATGTTCCACGAAAAATTTAAGACTATTATTACTGGTCGGTATTAGTAGTGTACATAAGTGGAACATAATAATAGAGAGCATGTAGCATGTACAAGTCAAGGTGAGTTAAAAATTGGGAAAACCCAATTTAGAGTTACTTCAGAGCTTAGTACAGGTGTTGAAAATTAAAAATTCGCCGTTTGCCACAAACTTCGCTTAAAAATTTCACGCTTCGACAAAACAATTATCCCAAAGATTAATTTATCAAGTCCACTATATTAGAATAGCCTCTTAAATGAAAAAAAAAAGGGTCATCGGAACTAAACGAGTCCCTAATATTTCAGGAATGGAGGCTGCTGGCAAAGCCGGAGGCATTGTTGAAGCCGCAATCTCATATACGGGTGATGTGAGCGATCCGAACAAGAAGAAGTACGATATGAAGTATTACACAGACCTGGCAGACGAATTGGTGAAAGCTGGAACTCACGTGTTGGCAATCAAGGATATGGCAGGATTATTGAAACCAAAAGCCGCCAGAATATTGATTGATGCGATTAGACAAAAGCATCCTGACGTTCCGATACACGTTCACACGCACGACACTGCTGGAGCCGGAGTGGCGTCGATGCTATCTTGCGCAGAAAGCGGAGCGGACGTTGTTGACGTAGCTGTTGACAGTATGTCTGGAATGACCAGTCAACCTTCCATGGGTGCAGTGGTTGCATCTCTTATCGGTGAGCTTTTTATTTTGCACGATTCACTTGTGCGTGTTTCGATTCTCTGCTGATTTGTAACGTATCAGAAATTCCGAAGGAAGCAACAGAAATTGATACTAGACGCAGTATAAGACGCAGAATTAACTCTAGAACGACATTTGCATTTTAGGGCACATGTGACACTATTGGGTCACGGGCGACCCAAAATAAAATCTAAACATTTTAAATATTATCAAAAATTCTTCTTCTATTTTTCTTTAGACATCTTAAAAAAAGATAACTGCAGCATTTTTTTCATATAAAGAAAAGAAATCAAGATATGAAAGTTGTTTTGAACTGTATCCTAAAAGGGTCTTCGTTCCAAATGCATAAAAAATATAATTTATATGTTATCTAAGTGGTTTAGAAGAAAATTTTTAGGAATCTGTAATAGTCTTTGTTGTTAATTTTGCAATCTGAACAGATTGAAATTCGGTGCTCGGCACAGAAATTTCTTGACCATAAAACGCACGCTGTTTGTCCTTTTCTACCTATCTTCTTGGGACAAAAGTGACTCGATCGACATCGGCTAGCGACACGAGACATTTCGCCTGACTTTCCGAATACAGTAAATTCTCTACAAGTGTCAGTCAGTTTGGATTCTACAAATGTCAGTATAGATGGTCCTGCGCCTAGACTGCGTCATTTCTGCGCCTATGTTATCTCGCTCGCTGTCAGTCTGGCGTGAAACTGTATCCGCGTTTTCTGAGCGTCGTTCGCAAAAAGTATATGTTCAACGGTCTCGTGAAGAGCGAGGACGCGCCGTTCTGCCGATCCCTGTCCACCCCTGGACAGGCCCAGGGAGAGCGCTGGGACTAGCTTCAAGTGGCTCGCTTCACCGTCTTCGGTGAAATAACTACTCAAATTTTTAAAACATAATCCATCGTTTGTTCTAAATACTTCAGCTGATTAAGGTACGGTTTTATCTCAAGGCTTATAAAACAAACACAAAATTCTTCTTTTTCCGTTATTTCATAAACTGTGGTGCAGATTAGAAGGGTAGATAACGATACCGT